GTCCCATTCCCTGAGACCTCAAGAAGGACTATGGGTTGACATGATAGCAGCATTCTGATATCTCAAGGGCTGCCACAAAAAGGAAGGAGTCAAGCTATTCTCCAAAGCACCTGAGGGCAAGGCAATGGGTGCAATGGGTGGAAACTAATCAAAGAGAGAAGCAACCTAGAACTAAGGAGAAATTTATTGACAGAACAATTAATCAGTGGAACAACTTGCCTCCAGAACAGGATAAGATAGGATAGGGTAGGGTAGAGTAGAGTAGAGTAGAGTAGAGTAGAGTACAGTACAGTACAGTACAGTACAGTACAGTAGAGTAGAGTAGAGTAGTACAACTGGTACTATAAAATTTTACTTGTGTTTATAAAGAAGTTAAATGAAGCCTCAGCCCTCTGTGTTTATTTTTCTGGTGCCGAATTTACACTGCAAAACTCTGAACAAATATAAATATACATAGCAGCTGAGATATTTGGCCAGTTAGCCATAAAGTCAGGAAACGGGGCCCTTGAGACATTCAGCAACTCAGGTTCAGGAATCTAGCTAGGTTTGTAGGGCCTTATGAAAGACTAATAGGTTTGGGGCCATTCTTATCTCTGTTGGAAGATGTTCTACAAAGCAGGGGTCATGGTGGAAAAAGCCCCTCTTCTAAGACCTGCCAGCCCATACCCTTCTGCTGATGGGATCTGCAGCGTGCCCATTCTGCCAGATTGGTTTGGCTGGGTAGAGATTCTTGGAAAAAGGAAATTCCCTCAAGTGCTGATTAGTTAAATTGGCTACAGATCCTGATTTTAGGATGTCTACTTTCAAAATACATTGGGGTTTTTTTTGCAGGTAATACCCAGAGGTGTTCACCAAAAATCCACCAGGGAGAGCATTGTGTCCCTGGTCAAAAGTGACAGCCTCCCAGAATTGATTCTTATGCAAATATGCTTTATAAATGATGTGAGGGTTGTTTTTTTTAATTAGTGATATGCGGGAGAGAGAGACAGAGAGAAAGAAAGAGAGAGAGAGAAAAAGACAGAGGGATAGAGAGGGACAAAGAGACAGAGAGAGTGAATAAGACAAAGAGATAGAAACAGACAGAGGGAGGGAGATTAGGAGAGAGGGAGGGAGAGGGAGAAGGAGAGGGAGAGAGAGAGAGAGAGAGAGAGAGAGAGAATATTATATCTTATGCTGAGAAATTCGGAAATGAAAAAATATATATAACCACAGAACTAGATTAGGCTGGGATTGGATTCCTAGGGGCAATTTTAATGGATAACTTCCTAACTGATGAGTCATTGAATGCCTGAACCAGAAAATAAATATTTGTCTTTCATCTGTAATGTTTACAAAATCTATCTCCATGTCTAGCACTGAGTGGCTTCTAACCCGGGGGAGGAAATGCAGATGTCAAAATGAGAATCAGATCGCCTGGATTTTAAAGGAAAACGTATGCAAAATATCTGGAAGTATTCCCCCCCCCCCCCATTTAAAGTGGGCTGTAAAGCACTGTGAAGTAGTATATAATTCTAAGTGTCAAGTGCTATTGCTATTGCAGGCTAATTCTGCCTACTGCCAGGGGTTCGATCCTGATCGGCTGAAGGTTGACTCAGACTTCCATCCTTCTGAGGTGGGTAAAACGAGGACCTGAATTGTTGGGGGGCAAGAAGCTGACTGTATAAACCGCTTAGAGAGGACTGTAAAGTATGGTGAAGAGGTATATAAATCTGTGCTATTGCTATTTTCGTATTGATGCCGATTTCTGCATTGTGCAAACCAGAACAGTAGATGGCAGGATAGACTTGAAGTTCAGATGTTGTTGAACAGCCATGTCAAAGGCATGGAGTTCTAGGCCTTGGTTAGGCGTCAAGATTCTTTGGGCAAATAAAGACGTTGAAAGAAGTTGGCCCGGTGACATCATATAGGTTTACTGAAACCACCATCCGAAACAAAAATATAGAATAGGGCTGGTCTGGAAACAATGCCAAACTCAGCTTACCAGAAACATTCTGGAAGGTGCTACATCTCCAGCTGCAGTGGGATCCTACCTGTTCCACTACCTGTTTGGTGATTCTGCATGCGCGCAGCTTTCCCCACACCAGCTGAGGCCTGCAGCACTAATCAGCTGAGAGGATAAAGAGAAAAGCACAGGGGCAGGTGGGAGGGCTGATCCTGCACTTTTCTCTTCTTTTTCCTCCTCTCAGCTGATCTTTGGAGGGTTTTTTTCCTACCGTTTAGGCGGAACTGGTAGCCATTTTTGCTACCGGTTCAAGTGAACCAGGCCATACCAGTAGCATACCACACTGATCTCCAAGATTTGCTAGTAATAAATGCAACAGGTCAAATGAATTTTTCTTCCAGTGCAGAGAAAATGAATTCATCCTTATAGCTTTTAAGACTCTTCCATTCTATCTCCCTATTCAGTGTTGGAAACCTCGGGTTAAATCACCCCGTAGCAACAACTGTACAACCTCTGGCTGAAAATCTCCAGCCTGGGAGACTGAATCCGTTTACTGTGCCTCCAGGTCAACAGTTCTGTTGCTGACTCTCTTTTTTTAGTGTCCTGTTTCCTCAAATATTAAGGTAAGACCTACTCTTTTGTAACAAGCTTATTTAATTGAATCTTATCGTTAAGTTGTTTTTTTCTCTCTGCAGGAATTAAAACAAAATTAAAGGAGAAGACAGCTTATGATAGTAATGGAGCCTGGAATTCCACAGGACTGACCTGATTTTACAACTCTTTAGTGCTGATTGTTAAGGGAATG